GGGGCGGCGGTGGGGGTGGCGGGGGAAGCAGGAGCTGCAGTGGAGACGCAGGGCGGTGCGGGCCGCCGCCGTGCAGCTTGGCCAGACTCTCCGAGTCTTCCTTGCCCCCAACTGGGCGGAAGGCGCTGGAGTGGTGGTAGCCTCCCCTGGCGGCCTTGTGGCCTCCGGCCGCTTCCAATGGGTGTGGGGGGACGCGGGCTCCGCTTGCCCCATTCCCTCCATCCGAGGCGGAAGGCGATGCGGGCTCCGAGGCCGCCGCTTCGGGCTCCGAGAGGTCCAGGAAGGCCTGCCGGAGAGCACCGTCCCCCAGTGCGCAGCCCAGAGTTGCTCCAGGTGGCTGAGGAGGGGGCTGCAGATAGGTGGGCACCGGCAGCGCACCTGGAGTGCGGGGCGGCCAGAACATGCAGAAGGGTGGATAGAAGGCTGCATCCTTCCTGCCGGGCCAGAAGAGCCCGGAGAGCCCCCCTCCGCCTGCTGTCCCCCCTCCGGTTTTATGGGCCGCCGTCCCTCCGAGGGCATCACCCGCACCGCTGCCCTCCTCCTTCTTGTGGCAGAGCCCAAAGGCTGCGGGGAAGCCGTAGGGATGCGGGAAGAGGCCCCCACAGCCTGGAAACTTCTGCAGCACTCCTCCAAAGGCCCCTTTGCTGGGCACTGGGATGAGCGGGTAGCTCCGCGGGCTCTTCCCTCCTGCCACCGCCACGGCCTCGTGCAGTTCCTCGTCCTCCTCGAAGCGTGGCCGCTTCTGCTGCAGCTCTTGGGGAGCTGCGGCCAGAAGGTGTGGGGCCAGCAAGCCACCCCCCACCACGGCCGCTGCCTTCACCGAGCCCAGCGCGTGGCACTGGGGGACAGCGGCGGTCCCGGGAGTGGTGGCAGTGGGTGCGGGCGGCAGTGCCCGCTTGCGACTTCCTCCATTGAACATGGCCTTGACATCCTCCCAGGCAAAGACCAGCTCGTCCTGGGGGCTCTTGTCTGTCAGCTTGAGGTGGCGGCGCCAGGAGTTGAAGTTGGCGGCATCGGGCTGCGTGTATTTGGCATCGGGAGTGCGGTGCGAGTGGAAGATGAATTTGTTGGGGGAGAAATACATACTGCAGTAGGTGCACTTGATGCACTTGGCGCGCGAGCTGTTGTAGCGGGCGGGGATGAAGCTCCCCCGGCACCCCCAGGCGCACTCATGGGACACATCAAAAGCGAAGTTATCAGGCAGCTTGGGTGGACGGTTCTCCCCCAGGAAGGATTTGCAGAGCCTCTCTGCCTCCCGCTTGGTGATCATCCCGCAGCGCCGCGATGAGATGGGCATGGCCCCGGCGCGCCGCAGGATCTCCAGTTGCACTGGTGTGCACTGCACGCAGGTGATGCCCAGAGCCACGCGTCGGTTGTGGATCTCGTTGTAACTGAAGTTTTTGAGCAGCGTGTTGGAGATCTGCGCCAGGCACAGCCTCTCCTGCCCATCGATCACCAGCGAGACGATGGGGATGCCGTAGAGGATCACCTGCCCCACTTGGTTGGGTTTCATGGCGGCGTGGCCAGCACGCTGCTGCTGGCTCATGGGGTCCGGTGGGTATGCGCTGGATGGAGATGGCAGCAAAATGTCCGTGGGGGTGGGCAGGGGGCTGGTCGCCATCTCTTCAATGCCAGGGGGGCTGCTGCGCTCCAGCTGTGGGGAGAATGAGAAACGTGGAGCTGTCAGCAGGGCAGAGAGGGACACAGAGCCGTCACTGTCAAGAGAAGGGGAGGAGAAAGGGGAAGGGCAAGGTGAAGGGGAAGAGGAACATGTCCCCCGAGCTGCCCGGCTCCCTAAATGCCCTCCCTTGAATTTGCTGGGACACAAAGCACACACAGCACCGCTCTAAAGCCATCTGCGGGAAGACTGATTCTGCACCGAGCGCTTCCCACCCCATTCCCTACTCACTGCCTCTGCATTACCATGCACATCCCACCCAGCATCCCCATAAATCCCCCAGCCGCCGTAAGGACCGTTCCCCACCGCACTCCGCGGTCGCTCCGAAGTCCCACAGCCCCAGTTCCCACCTCTCCGTCTGATCCCCGTTTTACCTCCGCGGGTCACCGCCGGACAGGACGCGCATCCCCGCGGCCGCCCGGCCCCTGCCCTCTCCGCGGAAGAGGAGGAGGCGGAGGCAGCGCGGAGCGACGCGCTTCTCTGGGAGCCGCCCCCCCCCCCCCCTCCCCCCGTGGGCACGGTGACGTCAGAAGCCGGGGGGGCGGACAGGGCCGGACCCCTCCTCGCCGCCCCCATCCCTGCCTTTGGTCCTCCCGGACGAGAAGTGGACGGGACGCCCCGTCGGGGCCCCGGGGCACCGCGCAGCCCTCAGCGCCTCCTGAAGAGCCTCGAGCCGGGACGGGGTCTCGGGAGGAGGCAGTGGAAAGG